ATTATTGTTATTATTATTATTGCTATTATTAAACCTGCCTTTGCATTTCGGGCCTGTGTCTCTGGAGACAAGTTATTGCCGTCGCGCCCTGTTGGGTGTTTCGGTTCCTTAAAATCACACGGAACACTTTGGGATAGGATATGGCGGCTGTGAAAATGGATGCCGATCGGTGCTTCCGAGTTGTCAGGTCACCATCCATCTTGCGACCAAATGGGGCTGCACGTGCTCTCGGGACATCGGGCCGTCAGGAGCCACGGGGGCAGGACAAGAATTAGCAGCAGCCTGTCGTTCTATTCAGCAATGCTTCTCATCAAATGCTTATGGGGGGAGGGAGGGGGGGTGGGCAGAATGTGTTGGGACGCTACCCTGTGCTCTAGGGGGCTATCCTGCGTGTCGGGCGCTATATAGACGCAAGTTGTCGTTGCGGTTTTTGTACTGGGAGAGGTGGACGAGAAATCAGCCAAGCTCAAGTCCTAGCCCAGCAGCATTGACCAGTTTCCCGCACATTCGGTGTATCGTGGTTCCAGGCTGGACCTATGTTTGTACTGAAGTGGGGGTTTGACTGTACTGTAACTTGGTTGTCTTTCCTGGCTTCAGACTCTCCCAGGACCAGCCTGTTCCTCGCCTGACACCACAGTGAGTCTTGAGCACGGAGTACATCGATCTGGGCACTTTCCACAATGAACTCAAATGGCCTCTTGCTGTGGTGAACATATCAATGCTATATTCATTACTTATTTAGGTGTCAGCTTGGCTCAGTTGGTGGCACTCTCGCCTCTGAGGAAGAAGGTTGGTGGGTTGAATTCCCAACGTCTCTCCGGTGCGCTCCTGGTTTATTGGGAGGTGCCGTCCTTCAGATAAGACATTAAATCAAGGTCTCGTCTATAGATGGGCGTTCAAGGTCACATGGAACAAAGAGAAGGGAGTATCACCCGGTGTCCTGGCCGAGAACGCCTAAGATAAATATAAAATTGGTCATTTATTTCATGGCTCTTCGCGGGACATCGCGGTGCGTAAATTGGTCACTTCGTTCGCCCACAAAATACATAGTCACTCCGTGTTGCAATGAAAATCCTGTGAAGCATTTTGAGACATTCAATGACGTGATAAGGTGCTATATCAAATAATAGAGATAATTCTTGTATTTAATATAGCGCCTTATTACATCTTCGAGACGTTCTCAAAGCGCTTCACAGGATATACTGTATAGTGAATTAACTGTATGTTTTGTGGGCGAAACGCAGCAGCCAATTGCGCACAGCAGCGTCCCACAAACAGTCGTGGATTGAAGTGACCAAATTGTTATTTAATTTTTTGGGGGGAAGGGATTTTTACCCCCGGAAAAGCGATCCGACAATCGACTAACAACCGGGTTCCAACTTACTGTCAGGTGAACAGAGGCGCGTGGAGTAAGGAAACTTGTCCAACGTTTCGCCCTGCTGGGAATCGAACCCAGGTCCTCTTGCTTGCGAGGCGAGTGCTCTAACCACTGAGCTACAGGACTTCACAATGCAACAATTATTATTTATAATTGAGTTCAGCTATCCCCGGGGGAAGGGGAACAGAGGTTGGAGGAGGGAGAAGAGAGAGAGAGAAAGAGAAAGAAAGGAATCGCCAGCCCAAGATTCCAGTCTGCCGTGTTAACATTCAAAACACAAAGAAAAAAAAATGTCCCCACTAAAAATAAAATCAAGCATAATAATAATCCTTGGGTTTGGTAAAGAGTCGGGAGGTGTCCTGAAGTGCTTCACAGAATTTACTGTGACGTGGAGTGACTGTGTATTCGTGCTTTTTTTTTGAATTTCAGGGGAATATACGCCAGGACACCAGGAGAAACTCCCTTCTCTTCTCCTTTCGAACAGCACCACGTAATCTTTAATGTCCACCTGAACAGGCAGACGGGACCTCAGTTTAATGTCTCATCTGAAGGACGGAAGCTTGCATTGGTGTATCAGCGCAGACTACATGAGTTCAAGTCCCGACTTGGGGCTTGAACCCCTAAACCTTCTGACCCAGAAGTAAGAGTGCTCCCACTGAGCCAGGCCGACACGCAATCACCCGCCGATGACATCTAAAAGATCGCTGGTGGTGAATTTCCTTGATATTCCAAAGAAATACAGTTTGTAGTATTTATGACCAATTCAGCTCCTGTTTCATTACTGTGCCTCCAATTTATCAAAGGCTTCCCTTGGACCATCTATCAGCTCTGCGATGTTCAAAGCCGAGCACAAACAGTAATTATACAGAGAAACTTTTCTCACACAAGGAGAGGGAGAGAGAGAGAGAGAGAGAGACAGAGAGAGAGGAAAAATAAAATCTGACGTGGTCAGCAACTAAAGAACTCATCTGCTGCTCCCGCCGTCAACAACGGGAGACTTTGAAGAAGTCACCCTCGATTCGTAGCTCAGAAAAAATATTAATTGCGGAATTATCAAAGCAACGACGCAAAATGAAAATCATCTCCCCGTTGAGCTGGTTTAATGAGAGTGGAGCTCGCTGCGCCCCATTTCCCCACCCCCCCATCGCCCCCCACCTCCCTCTCTCGTAAGGGTTTGAATAGAAGCATTTAGGCTGCCGCTAATTGTTCACTGTTCTGGGTTCCTAAGTGTACGGCTAAATGAACCCTGGAATGAATGGGCGTGTAGACTGGGAAAGACTAGTCATTAAGTCTAGTCAGGCAGAATTTTGCCTGAATTAAAAAAGACATATCAATTTCATTAAAGATCCACAAGACCATATCAACACTAATGAATGGTTTAAAAACCTTCCTCACCCCGCCTCCCCCCACCCCCCGGGGAGTCAGGTTACAGAAACAGCCTGTATCAGAGATTAAGAAAATTATTATTTTCATTCCACCAACAGCTTTTGTGTGGTTAAGGCGGGGGAATCTGTTCTGGTTCTCGCTTCGAAACACACTGTGATATCTGCGGGGTTTAACTCCTGCCCTCCCAGTGGCCCTGCCACTGAGGCTCGGGTAATTGTAGCATAGCAGCTCTCAGGGTTTAAAGGCTAAGGTTTTTAAACCAATACATCGGGGACGGTCAGCTCCTGAGGAGCCTCATGGGGTAGGGAGGGACCGGTTGATGGCAGTCAGTCAACGAGGCTGGCTGCTGTAGGCAATTGAGACACTCACACTAGGTGGTGCAGTTCCGAGGTGAAGATGGCAAAGCTTTTATTGAATTGTGTCGTAGGCATTTGTAGGATCAATTAGAGAATGTTTTTCTCTGGCATTCACCCAGGCTGCTCCTGATCTTGAGGGTGCGATATATATGCAAACACACACTACCTCTCGAAGATCTAGATCTCAAAGACACTACTGTGTGCAACTGGCTGCCACGTTTTGCTCATACAATATATACACTGAACGCACTCTGCCGTATATCCTGTGAAGCGCTTTGAGATGACGGGATAAGGCGCAATGTTAAATGCAAGGATTATTATTAAGATCAGATACAAAGCAGCCTGGAAGAAAATGCTGATCTGTGCTGAAACCGGCACAGGGCGAAACCTTGGGCAAGTTTCCTTACTCCACACGCCTGATAATAATCCCTTAAGAAAAAAAAACACAATAATATTTTGGTCACTTCAATCCACGACTGTTTGTAGGACACTGCTGTGCGCAATTGGCTGTTGCGTTTCGCCCACATAAATGCAGTGAATTCATTTTTCAGTATATTCTGTGAAGCGCTTTGAGACATCCCGAAGGCGTGATAAGGTGCTGTATCAAATGCAAGGATTATTATTATTGGTATTAATCGTAAAAGGAAACCTCATTGAAATCCACGTCTCTCCTCGAAATTGCGATCAATCAAATGTCCCACAAACAGCCCACGAGATGAAGAGATGAATGACCAATTTAAACTGACGGACTTTGGGCCAGGAGACCAGGAGAAACTCCCTCTAATCCCGATTCCCTGCTCTTTTCCCTGTAGCTTTTTATATTGTTTCTTTTACAAATGTTCATCCAATTCCCTGTTTGGTGGTGACAGGAGTGTTTCTGGATTAGCCTGACTTTTAACATTCTTGTGGCTTTTCCAGTCTTCATTAAATCCTTCATGGCAACGAGACAGAAGGTAAGATCTCCAGCCGTTCTTTATTGCTGTATTTTTCTTGAGAAAAGCTGGCAGGGGGAACTTACAGCAGGCAAGCTGGCACGCCTCCTTGTGCCAACTCTGCAACCGGCAGTCAGAGAGGTGTCGAGGCAAGTGAGGAATCTAACACCTTGGCAATCTGGCTCTTTTGAAACACTCCCAAGTCATTCCAAAAATAAAACTTTTCTTTTTAAAACCGAGGAACCGAGGCCCAAGGAGCAGGGACACCACCCAACGTTGAAAAAAGATCAGGACTCTGGAAGGGGAATGACATGACGAGTCAGGGAAAGTAGATGCCAAGTTGGGGGCTGAAAAAGCCCGTGGGTTGTGGGAGGAGGGGACGGTAGAGCGAAGAACGTTTTACGAAGAGGAGGTGTTACAGTGAACCTTGATTCGTGAGGTTGCCCGGAGGAGGAAGAGAGTTCGTTCAGAGCTTGGGAGCAACAAGTGGGAAGACAAGAAAAGGTTGCGAGACGAGAGAGAGAGAGAGAGAGAGAGTCTTTAAAGTGAGAGAGGGAACTCCTACCAGTCAACGGGTATTTTCTTGGATTTTGTCAAGGCGTGTGAGCAAATTGCTAAAAGGAGTTTCTCCCAATGTCAATGATAATAATAATGATAGTAATAATCCGTACATTTGGTATCGTGCATTTCACCTCTGGAGAGAGGCACGAAAGCCCTTCACAGGATACATTCACTGTAAAGCGCAGTGACTGTGCCTGTTTGTGGGAGAACGTGACAGGCACTTTGCCCGCAGCGATGTGCCACAAACAGCCGTGAAGTGAGTGACCCATTTTATTTGGGGGAATTGTTGGCCAGGACACAACAGGAGAGAGAAGCTCCCTTCAGCAGAACTTCACTGCCCTGATCTGTGCCCCCCCCCCCACCCCCACCACCCGGTGCAATCCTTACCTCCAGGATTTTGGGCGATCCCTGTCTTCCCAGCGTTCCGAGAATCAGGCCCCACGTCTTTGCCTTCACTGCCGTGGCTATGGCTTCCTTCCTGATAGCCTGCATGGCCTCGTGGTTGTAATACTCGCGGGAGAACACCTTACTGTAGGGGTCGTACCTGAAACGTCAAAGAGACACCCTCAACATGACAGAGACAAGGAAGCCAAGGATTTAGGCTGGACCAAGACACCCACCGCTATTCCTTGCACGCTTAAAACACACACATTAATCAAAATAATCCTTGCAATTTGATCCAGCGCCTTTCATGTAGTCAAAACATCTCAAAGTATTTGGCCAGGACACCGGAAGAAACATTTCTCCCATAAAATACTCAATCAATCCACTCTATAATATGTTCTGTGAAGAGCTTTGAGACGTCTCAACGAAGTGATAAGGCGGTAAATCAAACGGCAGCATTATTATTATATAGGAGTTTACAGTGAAGTGTACCGGCTGTGTATTCGTAGGCGAACATTTCGTGCATTTTGTGGTTAAAAAAAATTACGTGTTGTAGAATATTTCCTTTTCTCCCCTCTTGTACTGGCATCGTTCTGATCTGAGTATTAATAATACAGTAACTCAGTAAATAATCCTACTCCACGCCACCTCTCAGAGCCCACATTTGAATTCCTTGCCAAATCTTCACGCCAGTTCGGAGGTTTGGAGATGAAACACGGCAATTTGGCAAAACATCTAATGGCAACACTTCCCACGCCATCAATTCACCAGCCAGCCTTACTGGGGAGTAATGGCTGAGCCAAACAATATCATCTTTAATAATAATAATCCTTACATTCTATATAGTGCCATATCACCATCGGAGGATATACTGTCAAGTGCACTGACTGTGTATTTGTAAGCAAATGCGGCGGACAGTTTATGCACAACAATGTCCTATATGCAGCCATGAAGTGAATGACTAATCTATGATTGTTGGCCAGGACACCGGAAGAAACTCCCTTCCCTTTTCGAAAGGTACCATGGGATCTTTAACAGGGAGCCGGGACCTTGGTTTTAATGTCTCCACCCAAAGGGCGGCACCTCTGACAATGCAACGTTTCCCCAGCACTGCGTCGGGAGTGTCAGCCTAGACTATGAGGGCCTGAATGGGGCCAACATGGGGCCTGAATCCACAACCTTCTGGTCAAAGTGACACACAACATTTTATCCATCTGGGACCAGGGCTCCCTCTCCCTCCTTGACCTCTCTTCGATACCGCTGACCACTCGATCCTCCTCCACTGCCTCTCCTTTCACCTCAACCTTCACGGCTCTGACCTTGACTGGTTCAGTTCGTACCTCTCACACCGCCTCCACTTCATCTCCATAAACAGCTTCTCCTCTAGCCCCTGCACCGTCTCGTGCGGTGTTCCTCAGGGCTTTGGCCTTGGTCCCTCCTCTTCAATATCTATATGCTCCCTCTTGGTGACATCATCGGCGGACACGGGGTCAACTTCCACATGTATGCGGATGACACACAACTGTACCTCTCTGCCTCCACCATGACCTCAAGGACCACTGTCTGTTTGTCAGACATCAATTCCTGGATGAGAGCTAACTTTTTATAGTTGAACGTCAACAAGACCAAGATTCTCCTGATTGGCTCCCGTCAGCGCCTCCACACCTCAGGCGGTGACAGTATCACTATCCATGGCTGCACACTCCACCTTACTAAGCCAGTCCAGAACCTTCGCGTCTTGTTTGACCCTCAACTATCCTTTCTATCCCACATTCGTGCCATGACCTGCTCTGCCTTCTCCTTCACAACATCGCTCGGCTCCGACACTATCTCACACCGCAGGCGACTGAAACCCTCACACACGGCATTCATAACATCCAAGCTCGACTATGCAAACTCCCTGTTTGTCGGTCTCCCCAACTCCTCCCTCCATAGGCTGCAGATCATCCAGAACTCTGCAGCCCATGTCTTCTCCTGCACCAGGCTCCGTGACCCTATCACCCCCATCCTCGCCCGACTCCACTGCCTTCCCATCACACAGAGGATACACTTCAAGATCCTGGTCCTCACCTTCAAAGCCCTCCATGGTCTTGCTCCCCCTACCTCTGAGTCCTCCTAACCCCCTACCAACCTGCTCGCTCCCTCCACTCAGTGGGCTCCAGCCTGCTTTACATCACCTGCCTTGCTCACCTCACCATTAGTGGGCGAGCCTTCTACCACTCTGGCCCCACCCTCTGGCACCGTGGTCCATCCACCTCGCCCCCTCCCTTGCCTCCTTCAAGACCCATCTCAGGACCCTCCTCTTTGACCATGCCTTTGGCGAGGCGAATGTGGGATAGAGTCCCAAAGAGTGGGGGCAGAAAGGCTGAAGGCCCGACCGCCGTTGCTGGGGTGGGGAAGGCGGGGGACGTGGAGCAGGGCGGAGCCGGCTGAGCGGAGGGAGTGGACAAGTCGATAAGTAAACGACCAGGATCCGCCCAGATAAAAGAGATGATTCGTCGACATCCTTCCCGCTCCTGCCCAGGCGCTCAAGTAAGTGGCCGGTGCTTCAAACTGTGTGTATTATTCAATAGACAACAGACAGCAAGGAGTGAACTGCAGGCTGTAATCTCATCTCCAGGGTGCAGATGGCACTTACAAATCGTTTGAGCTTTGCTCTCCTGTGTTATTTTTTGGCTCTCCGAAGACCTCGATTAGATCACTGCTTTATAATTCCCGTCCAGATATCCTTTATTTTATGGGGGGTGGGGGGGAACGTACAGCGTTCTCGCACAGAAGAGTGATTGTATATTAATTCAGAGCTGAAACTGGGCAATGGGCAGCAATGAAAAAGGTGTAAATCACAAACAGCGAAGTTTCTGTTTCTAATATCTTGTCGGATGACCACAGTCCCAACAAGACAAATGGTTGACTCCTTACAACCCAACATTAAAAGGCACTGTACACTATACAGTAAAATCCTAGGAAGCTCTTTGAGATGTCTCAATGATGTGGTAAGGTTCTATACCAAACAATTATTATTATTAATAATTCTCCCCCCCCCCCACCCCACGCTCACACTCACACATACAGAAACACACATACACACTCATACATGCGCACACACTCACTCACACTCACTCTGGTACAGCAGTGGCTAAAGGGAACCAACTCGCAGCTACAGCAGCTAATGATGGGTCAGTTAATACTTTAAAGAATGAGCTGGAAACATATCTAGATTGGAAATAGACTTATGTTTTTTTGGGGGTAATAAGCCCTTAAAAAAATAATAATTTGGTATCTCAATCCCCGACTGTTTGTGGGACACTAGCACAATTGTCTGCCCCGTTTCACCCACAAAATACACAGTCACTCCACTTTACAGTATATTCTGTGAAGCGCTTAGAAACGTCTCGATAATGTGATAAGGCGCTGTATCAAATGCAGGGATTATTATTTTTATGCGAAGAAAATTAAGACAGAGGAGGTGAAAATAAACAGTAATTTTACCAACATATCTTATCTGACAGATTGACTCTCATTGACTTGGGTGCGTATCCCATTGAAGTGAAGAGGAAATGACAGATAACTGCATGGGGGCACGCACTAAAACACTTCCCCAAAGGAGACTGCTGGTTTGAATGAGCTGGTCGACCGCTTTTAGTGCGTGTGTGAGGGGTGGGGGGGGGCGGTGTGGGAGGGAGGAAAGGCTAGGACTCCTGTTTGACCTGGCTCAGTAATGCAATCACTACGTAAATCACACGCTGATTAAGTGCACACCGCTGCTCACAGCGAGAAGCAGAGAGTTTGCTTTGAGGTGATGGGAAAAGGTCAACGTTCAGTCTAAGGGCTTGGCTTGACTGGTGATTATTTCATACTTTCAGACCAGGTACAACCAGCAACTTGCATTTACGGAGCTCCTTTCCCCAGTAGAAGAGAGAAAAACATTTCAAAATGTTTACATAATGCGATTAATTGGAAATAATTTGAATGTTCCTTTGCGGGTAAATGGGCGAATGGCTGATTTGCCTGTGACATCCCCACAAACTACAAGGAGATGAGAAATTAAGCTGATGTGAATTGATGGTTAAAAGAAGGATAGTAAAAAAGTAGGTTTTATAATCCTAACCATCTGTGGACAAGGTCACATGTCCCATGTTGACAGGGCTGTTTCTTTTATTTCCGGATTCGCCCCTCCCTGCTTTCTATCCAAAGTTTGAAACAGTACCAAACTGTTTCCACTGGCAGATAGGTCAGTAATTAGGGCACACAGATTTAAGATAATTGGCAAAAGAACCAGAGGGGAGATGAGAATTTTTTTTTACACAGAGAGTTGTTACGGTCTGGAATGCACTGCCTGAGAGGGCGGTGGAAACAGATTGAATAACAACTCTCAAAAGGGAATTGGATAGGTGCTTGAAAAGGAAAAATTTGCAAGGATATTGGGGAATGAGCGGAGGAGTGGGACTGTTTGGGTAGCTCTTTCCAAAGAGCTGGCACAGGCATGATGGGCCGAATGGCCTCCTTCTGTGCTGCAATATTCTGTGATTCTATGAAATTCTGGTAACACAGAAGTCTGGAAACAAGAGGTTTGCCTGATATTTTGTTAAACATCACAGCACGGCAATGATCAGACCTGCCGGGAATGGTAGTGTGTCTCATTATCCTGTCACCATCATTTGTGTAATAGATCATACACCCTGGGCCGGGAGCTTCATTGCGCGATTTGCTGTGCTTCAGATGTGATATTAAACCGAGGTCTCGTCTGCCTGTTCAGGTGGACGTTAAAGATCTCTCTCCTCAGGTCCCGGCCAACGATCCCGCAGTTTCGCCCATAAAATACACAGTCAATCCACTTTACAGTATATTCTGTGTTCTGTGAAGCGCTTTGAGACGTCTCGACGACATGAAAAGGCGCTATATCAAATGCAAGGATTATTGTTATAAAAATCGGTCAGTCACTTCATGGCTGTTTGTGGGACATTGCTGTGGGCAAATCGCCTCTCACTTCCGCCTACAAATACACAGTCACTGCACTTCACAGAGGCGTGATGACAAATGGCTAGATCAGATGCAAAGATTGTTATTATCATTCAAGTCGCCGGTGGACTAATGATTACCTCTGCATGGAAGATGAACATATCCTGCCTGTTCTGATTCATTCTTTTGGTGTCACAATCA